GACTTGGGAGCCTCACGTTTATGACCACTGCAGCATCCGCATGGTTAGGTGCCTGGCAACTGGCTATGTGATTATGACGGCGGCAGCATCCCAGGTCACGTGATTACCATTTGCAACCTTCCCAGCCACCGTCTGACAAGGAAAATCAATGAAAGAAGCCAGGTTCACTTAATGACTAAATGATTCACTTAACAACTGCCGTGATTTGCTGAACCACCATGGCAAAAAAGATCGTAAGATCGGGCGCGACTTACTTAACAACCGTCTTGGCTTAGCAAGAAAAATTCTGGCCCCAATTGCGGTCGTATGTTGAGGACTACGTCTACCACCAAGAGAGGGAAGGGTCAGGGTCAGAGTCCCCCCTCCCCCCCTTCGACTTACCTGCACCTTCTGCCCCGCAATCTCAGTGGGGCTGTCGTGCCGAGGTGGCGGGTGCAGGTCCCCGTTGTTGACCACGTACTGGATGAGGTTGGCAAGGGCTGCGCAAGAGTCAGCGCACGTGTGGATGTGGACCACGTTGTTGGAGCAGCGTAACTCAAAGAGGGGCCGGGTCTGCACCATGGGGAGGAGAGAGAGAGACACACAGAGCGAGTCAAGAGGACCCCCAACATTTACTGCAGGGACCACCAGATTTCCATCATACACTAAGACAGTGTTGCTCGTCCTTGGAAACTTGAAGATTGGACTTCAATTCCCAGAATTCCAGGCACCCTAAAGTATGCTGGCTGGGGAATTCTGGGTGTCGAAGTTCACACACTTAAAGTGTGCCGATTGGGGAATTCTGGGAGTTGAAGGTCACTCCTCTTAAGTCATGCTGCTTGGGGAATTCTGGGAGTCAAAGTCCACCCATTTTGAAGCATGCTGGCTGTGGAATTCTGGGAGTTGAAGTCCACCCATCTGAAAGGATGCTGATTAGGGAATTCTGGGAGTTTTCCACCATCTTAAAGCATGCTGGTTAGGGAATTTGGAAGTTGAAGTCCACACGTTTTCAAGCTGCTAAGGTTGAGAAACACTGCACTAGGGGGTGGACCCATCAGATGTGTTTCTCGCCAACCAGCTGTATTTTGAAAAACCAAGTTCAACCAGGTTAGTGGAAACTGAGCAGCTACATTCTTGCAATAGGCTATCTAAGCTAGTTTTGCCACCTCACTCCAAGCTGAAGCTTAGGGAATCATGCAAATCCAACCAGTTCATTTATATCTCCAGAAAATGGCTGCTTTCAGGAGCCCAGCTCAGCCCATTGCATGAACAGAAGCTGAAATGTGGCCAGCTGCCCTGGGAGAATTCTCCTTCTGTCTACGGTATGTGGGCAGCGCTGGGCAGCATGAGCCCAAAGGCACATGAACTTTATCCCTTCGGTCCCTGCCAAGTGGCATTTCCTCAAGTCAGTGCCCAGAAGAGGAAGATTGAAAATACATTCAAGACAGCCCCAGCAGTCTCATCTGTGACAAAATACCCATTTTCAGAGTTGGACATTTAATAATTCACACTGAACTTCGTTCTCCTGCTGGCGGGGGTGTTGAACATCATCTGCGTCTTTCAATCTTTTGAGTTGGTGAAACCCACAGGGTTGGGTGGGACCTTGATGGTCTTCTAGTCCAACCCCCTGCTCAAGGCAGGAGACCATATACCAGTGGTTCTCAACCTTTTTAATGCCGCGACCCCCAACCGGTCGTAAGTCGAGGACTAAACCGGTCATAAGTCGAGGACTACCCAACCGATCGTAAGTCGAGGACTTTCCCTGCCCGGGAGCGCCGCGCATGCGTGGTTCCGCCCCCTGCGCCGGCCGAGGCATAGCTGGCAAGCGGCAGAGACGGAGCAGGCCGACCACCAGCTGGCCCAGCCCAAGGGAGGTAAGGCACCCGCCGGAAAAGGGGGAAAAAATGGCGGACAAAAAAAATGGCGGACAGCCTTGCTTGGCGACCCCTGTGAAATGGTCGATCGACCCCAAATGGGGTCCCGACCCACAGGTTGAGAACCACTGCCATATACCATCTGTAACCCACTTAAAGAGAGCTGTAAAGCAGTATGAAGCAGTATATAAGTGCTAATCCTATCTTGGTCAAACAATTCTTTAATCTATTTTTGAAAACCTCCAGTGATGGAGCATGTACCACCTCAGGAGACAAGAATAATTGTTCTCAGTGAGGAAATCTCTCTTTTATTCTCGGTTGGATCGCTCTTTAACAAGCTTCCACCCTTTACTTCCTGCTTTGTCCTCCGATGCTTTGGAGAATAAATCAATAAAGCTTGACTTAATAATAAGCCTGAAGCCAATGCTTTGCCTGGCTATCTGCAAGTTTCCCATTTTTTTAAATTAAAGAATTGAAGAAGGAAAAATATCGGGGAGACAGAGCCAAGCAAGGTACCCCTGGAGCCCAGGGGCCCAGCCTTGGAGATACAGCCCCGAGGAACCCACCAGTTTCCCAGTTATGTCTCCTTTCCACGTCGTGATGACCAGTTCCAGGAGATCCATTTCCACCACGCAAACATAATCTAGGCCGAGAGAAAAGTGGAACTTAGTAAGTAAGAAACATGATGGAAGAAGACCTGTAAGTCCTGGAATTTCCAGTCTGCAGGCAGTCCTTGGCTTATGACAGTTAAAGTGAGCCCAGAATTACGATCGTAAATGGCAGTCAATAAAAGGTCACCATGATTGCGCCCCATTTTATGACCCTTTTTGCAGTGGTTTTTAAGCCAACTTTGTAGATCAGTCGTGGTCTAACCTTGGCAACTTTTAAGATTTGTGGACTTCAACTCCCAGAATTCCCCAGCAGGCCATGCCGGCTGGGGAATTCTGGGAGTCGAAGTCCACAAATCTTAAAAGTTGCCAAGGTTGAATATTTCCTGCTGTAGAATTTAAGCAAATTCCTTGTCTGCAATGGGCATTTTTTTGCTGGAAACTGGGAAAATCATAACTCTAAGACTTTGGGGACTGTAATAAAAACGTAACAAGAGTAAAAATAATATTCAAAATGCAAAGTCGCCTGGGCTGAGCCATCTCCCCTGTTTTAAGGCTGACTGCAACCAACCTTTTTTCACGAGATGCCCGTTTGCCCAAGAAAATCCCCATCGCAGGCATGGGGCAGGGGGAGATAAGGGGGTTACCTTTATTCAGGTCACCGGTCTCTGCTTCACATTTGTTGGAGAGGAACAGAGTGGAGTTATCCAAAATGAACCTAGGTGGAGAACAAGCAGGCTGGTTAGAATCCGCTCTTCCGACAGACACAAGGATCACCTTCTCCACACATCGCTGAACGTGGGAAGGAATCTGTTCTGGGGAGGAGAGAGAAGGGGTGGGTCCACTACCTGGCTGGTGTGGAGACAACAGGAAAGGGAGACTCAGAATCACAGAATCAGAGTTGGAAGGGACCTTGGAGGTCCCTTCTTCTAGTCCAACTGCCTGCTCAATCAAGACACCCTGTACCAAATGGTTGTCCAATCTCTTCTTGAAAACCTCCAGTCATGGAGCACCCACAACTTCTGAAGGCAAGCCATTCCACTGATTAATTGTTCTCACTGTCAGGACATTTCTCCTCAATTCCAGGTTGCTTCTCTCCTTGATTAATTTCCATCCGTTGCTTCTTGTCCTGCCTACTGGTGCTTTGGAGAATAGCTTGACTCCCTCTTCTTTGGGGCAGCCCCTCAAATATTGGAAGACTGTTATGATGTCCCCCTAATCCTTTTCTTCGTTAAACATACCCAGTTCCCAGAACCATTTATCGTACAATTTAGCCTCCAGTCCCCTAATCATGTTTGTTGCTCTTCTCTGCACTCTTTTTTATGGCCTCAGCATCTTGCGTGGAAGCTCCCACTCTGCTTGTCCAGTGCCTGCCATGCTGGATGGAGCTGATGGAAACGGCACCAATAAATCAGGGGAGTTGGGAGGAGGAACGCTGGAAACAGATATCCATGGCATGAATCCATGAATCGGACTGACCGAACCTCTCAGCCTCTATACAGGTTGTCCTCGACTTACAACAGTTCATTTAGTGACTGTTCAAAGTTACAACGGCACTGAAAAAAGTGACTTATGACCATTTTGCACAGTTGTAACTGTTGCAGCCATCCCCAAGATCATATGATCAAAATTCAGGCACTTGGCAACTGACTCATATTTACGACCGTTACAGAGTCCCTGGGTCACATGATCCCCTTTTATGACTTTCTGACAAGCATGTTACTAAATTAGCAACTGCAGCAATTTGCTTAACAATTGTGGCAAGAGAAGTTTCTAAAATGGGGCAAAGCTCATTTAACAAATGTCTAACTTAACAATAGAAATACTGGACTCCATTGTGGTCATAAGTTGAGGACTACTTGTAATGGCATGGGGGAGGGGATGAAGGAAAAAGAAGCTGCCTAGGAAATGAACTGATAAGAGAGGCAGGAGCCCTGGGTCAGAGGAAGACACTTAGGAAGGACCTAGGTTAAAAGTGACAGTGGGAAGTTTATATTTTCAGATCTATAAGATTCTCTTAGTTTACCCTTACAATAAAATAGGTTTATTGTAAACTTTGACTTACAACCACAATTGAGCCCAAAATTTCTGCTTTTTTTGCTAAGTGGGACAAGTTGTTCAGTGAGTTTTGCCCCATTTTACGACCTTCCTTGCCACAGTTGTTAAGCGAATCACTGCATTTGTTAAGTTAGCAACACAATTGTAAAGTGAATCTGGCTTTCCTCTTGACTTGCTTGTCAGGTCGCAAAAGGGGATCACCTGACCCCGGGACACTGTGACCGTCATAAATATGAACCAGCTACCAAGCGTCTGAATTTTGATCACATGACCATGGGGGTGCTGCAACAGTCGTAAGTATGAAAAACAGCCATAAGTCCCTTTTTTCAGTGTCACTGTTAACTTTGAATGCTCACTAAACAAACTCTTATATGTTGAGGACTGGCTGTAGGTTAAGAATCTGGCTTAGAAAGTGTCATTTCTTTCTCAAGGAGATCAAAACACATTTTTGCTAAAAGGAAATGGTCACTAAATGAACTGTTGTTAAGTTGAGCACCGCCTGTCTTTTTATTTATCCGTTAAATCTATTCGACACCCATCTGTTGCAGAGTATTGAGAATCCAATGAGGGAAGTAAGATAAATCTCTCAAGTCTTGGGGGAAAGGAAATAAATGCAGAATCCAACAGGTGCAGCATGCCGACAGGTACAACAGGCGCACCCATTCTGGATCCAATGCACCTTTCCTGGCATGGAAGCAGATTTTGAACTTCTCCACAAAGGGGAGGAAAGGTGCAGATGGCTCCCTGCCTCCTTGGATAAAAATCTCCCTCTCTGCAGGAGTTTTTCCAGGCATGGCTTCCTGGAGACCCATATGTTCCACTCTCCCCAAGAGATTTGGAGGGCTCCAGCCCCAGAACCCACCGAAGGAGGAAGACCGAGGTGTCCACAATGATGTTACTGGAGAGGGTGAAGGTCTCTGCTGTGATGAGGACCCGGAGGGGCAAGTAGAGAGGCCTGTGAAGGAGAAGATGGAGGTCAGCCTTGGTGCAACATATCTCAATCTTTGGAACTTTAAGAGGTGTGGACTTCAACTCCCAGAATTGAAGTCCACACCTCTTAAAGTTCCAAAGATTGAGAAACTGTGGAGATGGGGAGGTCACGGCCCAGCACCCCCTCATTATCGGTCACCCCAAAACTCCAGTGGTGGGCGGAAAGAGTCTGGAATGAAAACAAATACAGGTAGTCCCTCAACTTACAGCCAAACAGCCAAAAAATGCCCATTTGGGATAGACTGCCCACCATGAGATCCGCTTAACAGCTGGTTGAAAAATCAGATCCATTTAAGTGGCATCTCAACTTACGACCGCAATGACCAGAATTCTGGTCCCTATTGCGAGGAAGTCGAGGGCTACCTATATAAACCGGGACATCTCTCCTTAGCCTGGTTGGGTTCTCCTCATTCTGAGTCAGCTGACAGAATAGAATAGAGGGACCTTGGAGGTCTTCTAGTCCAGCCCCCAGCTCAAGCAGGGGAACCTCTTAGACCATCTCAGACAATCCCATATGATCCTGTAGCGCCACCCGTGGATCTATCCATAATAGCGGGATCCTCACAACACCACTGTCTGAACTGAAATCTGAATCACTGGGGACCCATTTTGTTAGAAAAGCCCAGTCTTTTCTCTTGGCACTTGATAGGAGCCAGACCAATACAGGTAGTCCTCGATTTACGACAATTGTGCCCAACATTTCCATTGTGAAGCAAGACAATTGCTAAGTGAGTTTTGACTCATTTTATGACCTTCCTTGCTAAGTGAATCGTTGCAGTTATTAAGTGAACAACATGGTTGTTAAGTGAATCTGGCTTCCCCCCACTGACTTTGCTTGTCAGAAGGTCACAAAAGGGGGATCACATGACCCCAGGAGACACTGCGACTGTCGTTAAGTATGGATCAATTGCCAAGTGCCCAAATGTTGATCAGGTGACCCCCCTGAGGATGCTGCAACGGTCGTAAATGTGGAAAAGGGTCATAGGTCACTTCTTTCAGGGCCGTTGTAACCTCAGTCATTAAATGAATGGTTGTAAGTCAAGGACTAGCTATAGTTAGTTTCTTCACTGGAGAACAGGATGTTTGATTTATTTTATTTCTGTGGCCCTCCATCTCAGCAAAGGACTCAGGGCGGCTCACAATTCAAAAACATATATCACAATGAAAACCCTAAAAACACTTTAAAACAATAAAAACATTAAAAACAATTGAAAAAAAAAATGAAAATCACTTTAAAATCACCCATTTTGTATCTAATTGGAGGACATGGAAAGCAAGCCATCTGGCCTGTTAACCATACATAGCCAGGAGGGTGGGGCCCTCGGTGTAGGTTCTCTGCTCTTTGTTTAACCGGGGTTTAGCGTGTTGTGGGAACGCAACCAGGAAGCTCCAGCCTCTTTCCCCAGGCAGGACTGACCGAAACAGCTGATGGCCAGCTCAAACAAACCCAACTTCCAATACCGGCACCTGTAATCCATGGCACAGTTGAAGAGGTGGGTGTGCAAAATGGTGATGATGGCGGGGGGCACGAAGCCCAGGATGGGGTCGTCCGGAACATCCAGGAAGTCGATCAACTGGCAGAAGGAGACACGGCCGTGAGACATGAACCCAGAGCCCCGGAGTCCTGCTGGCTCTCCAGCGCCCGGGAGTTAAGCTCAGGCCAGTCTAAGAGAGGATAGAGAAAGGGGCTGCTCCCAGATGCTGCTCGGACCCCCCCGGCTCTTCCCCAGCTCCACCTCTAACCTGAAAGCAGCCAACCTTCTCTGGGAGATCCGGCCTCACCTGCGTGTACCAGCTCTGGTGGGCCAGCGCCATGCGGTGCCGTATGGTGGCGCCCTCAAGGCGCAGCGTCACCAGGAACTCCTGCAACTCGGAAGGAAAATGTGGGTCACCATCTGTATGCTTCTTCTCACTGGGCGCTGGGCCTTCCTCGGCCCAGGACTCCAAGAGAGCCCTTCTAATAATACGCCAGAGAGAGATCTTGCTCAGGAATCAACTCTTCACAAGGTAGGATTCAGGAGATCTTTCTGGGTCTATGGAAGCCGGTTTCAGTCTTCTGGGACTGAGAAATGTTACCAAAATGGGGCCTGGGGCTTGCAGAAATGGTTCGTGGGAGAGCCAGTTTGCTCTACGTGGGGAAGGCACCGAGCTAGAAAAGCAGGAGATAGTGAGTTCTAGTCCTGCATTAGGCACAAAAGCCAACTGCGTGACTTTGAGCCAATCACCAGGAGATGGTGAGTTCTAGCCCTGACTTACGTTATGAAAGCCAGCTGGGCGACTTTAGGCCAGGGGTGTGAAACTGCCGGCCCATGGGCCAGATGCGTCATGCCAAAACCACGCCCACCCCATTGCCGGCAATGGGAAAAAAGTCACGCTACGCCACGACACGTGACATTGCAAGTTTGACACCTGCGCTTTAGGCCAATCACCAGAAGATGGACAGTTCTAGTCCCGTCTTAGCCACGAAAGCCAGCTAGGTGACTTTGGGCGAATCACCAGGAGACTGGGAGTTCTAATTCTGATTTACATATGAAAGCCAGTTGGGTGACTTTGGGCGAATCACCAGGAGACAGAGAGTTCTAGTCCCGCCTTAGCCATGAAAGCCGGCTGGGTGACTCTGGGCCAATCACCAGGAGATGCTGAGTTCTAGTCCTGTCTTAGGTACGAAAGCTGCTGGGTGACTTTGGGCCAGTCACTGCCTTTCAGCCCAGCCCACCTCACAGGATTGTTGTTGCGGGGAAAAATTGGAGGAGGAAGGTGTGTGGGATACGGTCACTGCCTTGAATTATTTGTCAAAATAAGTTGGGATATAAATAATAAATCAATATTGCTCTAAGAGCGATTTTAACAAATAAGCCTGTCAAAAGAAATAAAAAATGGAAATACAGATAGTCTGCAACCTATGATTGTAATTGAGGCTGGCAATTGCAGTTGTAAACCAGGACAGTCATAAAATGAGTCACCCACATAACCATGCCTGATTTTATGACATTTTTGCAACGGTCATTAATCAAACCCATGCTATGGGCATTTGCCCGAGTGCTCAAAATACGGTCATGTCACCATGGAGGGGGGAAGCAGCCTTGCTGGCTGGGGAATTCTGAGAGTTGAAGTCCACCCAACTTCAGGAAGGTTGAGAACCACTGCAGTCAGCAACAACCCCCATTAGCTAAGACACCTTTATGTTCTTCTCCAAATCCAGGTTGATCTTGATGGCCACAGACAACATCTTGACAACATCCTTCTTGGCCCCCAGAGGCCAGTTGATGGAGCCCTCTTGGGAGGCGTAGATGGTGGGGTGTAGCCCATCGGGGGGCAGGAAATTGGGAATCTCCAGGTGCTCAGCTGTAAGGTAGTCCTCCACAACAGCTGGGGGGCGGGGGGAGAAGAGAGAAAGCATCGTGGATTAACATGCTGAGAGGTCCGTAACCTGCTGTGGTCTTCATCCCTTCCCAATCCCATTTTCTGTCTCCCCCACCCCAAAAATCAGCAGAAGAGGAAGCAACAAGGGTATAGTCGGACAAAAATGTCAGATGCGTTTCCCAAAACAGGAAATACACAGTCCTCAATGTACAACAGAAACTGGGATCAGAATTTCCATCCATAAGCAATGTGTTCACAAAGCAGGACTGCATCGCTTAATGATGGCAATCGCGGCAATCATAGTTGCTGTCATTAACCAATTCCCACGGTAATTAGGCGAGGCAACTTTTTTGCTGGTTTCGACAGCCAAAATCAATGGGGAAGCCAGCAGGAAATCGCATGCTGGCTGGGGATTACTGGGAATTGAAGTCCTCCCCCTCTTAAATAGTTGTTCTACAGGACAATTCAACTGAACCTATTGCCTCCACATTCACACATCCTGGCACCACAGCTGGATCCCGACCTTTGTGATAAAGGGCCACCTTCTCAGCTTCAATGCAGAAGTAGCCAATGTCCTCACGGCCTTTGTAGTGAGAAACACTGAAGAGGCTTCCGTTCTCCACATCCAGGACGAGTTCCCCATGAGCGGCTTCCAGCTTCTTGCCTCCTTCGCCCTGCAGAGACGAAGGGAAGAACTGAATCTTGGGTTAAGTGAAGGCAGCTGAGAACCAGGAAAGGTCTAAGCCAGACATGTCAAACTCACGACGTTACGTGACGTTGCGCAACATATCGGGACGGTTTTGCCATTGCTGGCAATGGGGTGGGTGTGGCTTCCGGATGATGCGTCCGGCCCCCGGGCCGGCAGTTTTGACACCCCTGGTCTAAGCTGTAAACACATCTAGTTGTTTGAGTAACACATAAATTAAAAGGAAGCTTGGGCACTTCTTCCTACGTGGACAGAATAGAATAGAGCTGGAAGAGACCTTGGAGGTCTTCTAGTCCAGCCCCCTGCTCAAGCAGAAGAATCTATACCATTTCAGACAAGTGATTGTCTAATCTCTTCTTAAAGATCTCCAGTGATGGAGCGCCCACGATTTCTGGAGGCAAGCTGTTCCGTTGGTTAATTGTCCTCACTGTTAGGAAGTTTCTCCTTAATTCCAGGTTGCTTCTCTCTTTTTTCAATTTCCATCCATTGTTTCGTGTCCTGCCCTCTGGTGCTTTGGAGAATAACGTGACCCCCTCTTCTTTGTGGCAGCCCCTCAAATACTGGAAGACTGCTATCATGTTGCCCCCGTTTCTTCTTTTCTTTAGACTAGCCAAACCCAACTCCTGCAGCCGTTCTTCATATGTTTTAGTCTCATTAGTATCATTTTAGTTGCTTTTCTCTGAACTGTTTCCAAGGTTTAAACATCTTTTTGACCAAAATTGGTGATCCATGTGCTTGCTTGGACAGACAAGAATACAGAATAACAGAGTGGGAAGGGACTTTGGAGGTCATCTAGTCCAACCCAATGCTCAGGCAACGGATCCCTACCATTCTGGACAAATGGTTGTCCAGTTTATTAAAAAAATCTCCTGTGAGGGATCAAGACTGAAAAGGATGTTTGACAGCTTCTAGAAAAACCTGGTGTCCCCAAGCCCCTTTTTACTAGTTCCCTTAATATGCCACCATCCCATTGTCAGTATCTAGGGGCACCTACAGATAGTCCTCGACTTATGACCACAATTGAGCCCAACATTTCTATTGTTCAGTGAGACATGTGTTAAGTGAGTTTTGCCCCATCTTACGATCTTTCTTGCTACAGTTGTTAAATGATTCACTGCAGTTGTTACTTTAGTAACACAGTTGTTAAGTGAATCTGGATTCCCCCATGGACTTTGCTTGTAAAGAAGGTCACAAAAACTGATCAAATGACCCTGGGACACTGAAACAGTGATAAAGATGAACCGGTTGCCAAACATCTGAATTTTGATCACATGATTGTGGGGATGCTGCAAAGGTCATAACTCTGAAAAACAGTCATGTCACTTTTTTCAGTACTGTAGTAACTTTGAACGGTCACTAAATGAACTGTAGTAAGTCGAGGACTATCTGTAATAGACACTGGACCATAAACCAAGCACAACAGAACAGCAGGCCACAAATGATTCAACCAAGAGCATTGATTGTTGTAAGTTGAGGACAACCTGTAAGCTAGTAAGAATCTGGCTTAGAAAGTGTTATAATTCTCATCTCTTTCTCAAGGGGATCCAATCACATTTTTGCTAAAAGGGAACAATTTCTACTCTTTTTTAAAAGCTCCCTTCCCAACAGACATGCCAGGCTGAAAGGGCTTAAAATTTTGTCTTCTGGATGCCACGGCCACGCTGCAAAAACTTATTTCCCTGAAAATAAGACCCAACCAGAAAATAAGCTCTAGCATGACTTTTCAGAACTCTCCTTGTAATATAAGCCTTACCCCCAAAATAAGACCCAGTTAATATCGTCAGCCACAGACAGACACATTTAGTATTTTCCTGAAAAGAAGACCTAACCGGAAAGTAAACCCTAATGCGTCTTTTGGAGGAAAAATTAATACAAGACCGAATCTTATTTTTGGGGAAACACGGAATTAAATTTAAAATATCTACCCTCCTTTCTCTTTGAGTTGGGAGCAACTAGTTCCTGCAAGAAAGCCTGCCAGAGTTTCTTGGTACAAGTTGGAATGGAACCGCATCTACATGGAGGGAAGTGTGTAGTGGGGTGCCCCAGGGCTCTGTTCTGGGCCCAGTGTTCTTCAACATCTTCATCAATGATTTGGACGAGGGGATAGATGGAGAACTCATCAAATTTGCCGACGACACCAAGCTGGCAGGAATAGCCAACACTCCAGAAGACAGGCTTAGGATACAGGAGGACCTGGACAGACTTGAACACTGGGCGCTATCTAACAAAATGAAATTCAATGATGAGAAAAGTAAGGTTCTACATTTAGGCAAGAAAAACCAAATGTACAGGTATAGTATAGGGGGTACCTTGCTCAATAGTAGTAACTGTGAGAGGGATCTCGGAGTCCTAGTGGACAATCATTTAAATATGAGCCAGCAGTGTGCTGCAGCTGCCAAAAAAGTCAACACAGTGCTAGGCTGCATTAACAGAGGGATAGAATCAAGATCACGTGAAGTGTTAATACCACTTTACAATGCCTTGGTAAGGCCACACTTGGAATACTGCATCCAGTTTTGGTCACCACGATGTAAAAAAGATGTTGAGACTCTAGAAAGAGTACAGAGAAGAGCAACAAAGATGATTAGGGAACTGGAGGCTAAAACATATAAGGAACGGTTGCTGGAATTGGGTATGTCTAGTTTAACAAAGAGAAGGACGAGGGGGGACATGATAGCAGTATTCCAATATCTCAGGGGCTGCCACAAAGAAGAGGGAGTCAAGCTATTTTCCAAAGCGCCTGAAGGCAGGACAAGGAGCAACGGGTGGAAGCTAACCAAAGAGAGAAGCAACCTAGAACTAAGGAGAAACTTCCTGACAGTGAGAACAATTAACCGGTGGAACAACCTGCCTCCAGAAGCGGTGAATGCACCAACACTGGAAGTTTTTCAGAAGAAACTGGACAGCCATTTGTCCAAAATGGTATAGGGTTTCCTGCCTGAGCAGGGGGTTGGACTAGATGACCTCCAAAGTCCCTTCCAACTTTATCATTATCATTATCATTATTATTATTATTATTATTATTATTAAGTTAATATGATTTTTTAAAAAAGTGGCTAATTTTAAACAGCTACTCCTCGACTTACTAATGGTGCCTGCGCATTATATTACCTTTTTTGGAACAGTCATTAAGTGAACAACGTGGTCATTAAGCGAACCCATTGTTTCCTCTGGGCCAGTTTTGCTGAGAACCAGAAGTAAATATCAGCAATTTACTTACTGGGAAAAACATCGTAAAATGTGATCATGTGACTGCAAACTGGGCCGGTTGCCAAGTGTCTGCCTGAAATAGGGTCACATGGCCATGGGGGGGGCCCCATAGCCAACAGAACTTCAGAACTTGGTTGTAAGTAACCCTGTGGGGGTCTGTTGTAACTCTGAACGGTCACTAAATGCTAGTCGTAAGTCAAGGACTACCTGTACAGGTAGTCCTCCACTTACGACAGTCCATTTAGTGACCGTTCAAAGTTACAATGGCATTGGAAAAAGTGACTTCTGACCATTATTTATATTTACAACCATTAGAGGCAGTCCTTGACTTACAACAGTTCGTTTAGTGACCGTTCAAAGTTACAAAGGCTCTGAAAAAAGAGACTCGTGACTGTTTTTCTCACTTATGACCGTTGCAGCATCCCCAAGGTCACATGAGCAAAACTGAGAAACTTGGCAACTGGTTCATATTTATGATGGTTGCAGTGTCCTGGGTCACATGATCCCCTTTTACAACCTTCTGCCAAGCAAAGTCAATGGGGAACCAGATTCATCTAACAATCGTGTTACTAGCTTAACAACTGCAGTGTTTCACTTAACAACTGTGTCAAGAAAGATCATAAAATGGGGCAAAACTCACTTAACAAATGTTTCGCTTAGCAACAGAATTTGGGGGTTCGATTATGGGAGTGAGTCGAGGACCCCCTGTATTTGATTATGTCATTTCAACAATGCATACGGCCATCCATCTAACACACTAACCCAGGGTGCTCATATGAATTGCCTCAGAACAATGTGCCAGACTGGGAGGGAGGAACGACAAAAAATGGACAGTGAGGTCTAGGTCAGTGGTTCTCAACCTTTTTAATGCTGCGATCCCCCAACCGGTCGTAAGTCGAGGACTAAACCGGTCGTAAATCGAGGACTAAACCGGTCATAAGTCGAGGACTACCCAACCGGTCGTAAGTCAAGGACTTTCCCTGCCCGGGAGCGCCGCGCATGCGTGGTTCCGCCCCCTGCGCCGGCCGAGGCGTAGCTGGCAAGCGGCAGAGATGGAGCAGGCCGACCACCAGCTGGCCCAGCCCAAGGGAGGTAAGGCACCCGCCGGAAAAGGGGAAAAAAATGGCGGACAGCCTTGCTTGGCAACCCCCATGAAATGGTCGATCGACCCCAAATGGGGTCGCGACCCATAGGTTGAGAACCGCTGGTCTAGGTGCACAAGCACGTGCAAAGAGTGTGCAGAACAGAGACCATTTGGGGGAGAAGTGACTTGACTCCTTGCGGTGTCTCACTTTGGCATTGCAGAGCGCTGTAATGCGTCCCTGGCCCACCCGGAGCACGACAGAGATGCAGCTGAGGGGAAAGGGGTTCCTCTGCTCCCCTCTTTTCTGCTGCACACCCGTCTGGTCCGCCGAGTAGAAGTGGGAATCGTCGTCCTCGGAGTCCGAATCTGCAAGAACAAGCAACTGAGAATGACCTTCTTCTATCCCAGGGGAGCTATGACCCCTTATTGACCTGTGGACTTCAGCTCCCAGAATTCCTGGGCCAGCATGCTCCACAAGTCATAAAGGGGCCATAGTTCCTTGGCTCAGGAATTCTGGGAGTTGAAATCCTCAAATCATAAAGGGGCCATAGTTCCTTGGCTTAGGAATTCTGGGAGTTGAAGTCCACAAGTCTTAAAGCGGCCATAGCTCCCTGGCTCAGGAATTTTGGGAGCCGAAGTCCCCAAATCATAAAGGGACCACAGCTCTCCACCTCTGTTCTGTCCAGTGATGGCCAACCCTCCATATCCAGCTCCCCTCCAGACCACAGCCAATCAGATAGCAGCCCTCCCTCCCTCCTCCTCTAGAAGGCTCCCCTAAGTCCATCAGCTCTCCTTCTCCCCCTGCCCCAAATGACGTTTCTCACCCAGCTTAAAGGCTGACTTGCACATCTGGAAGTTCTCCGGCCAGTGGGTGGGCGGGAGCCCGTCAGAGGCAAAGGGGGATGCTGATCCAGCCCCTCCTGGAGGATCCGTGGGGCTCGGGGGCGGGCTGAAGGGCTCCCACATCAGGAGGTCATTATTGATCCTGGGGGTGAAAGGAAGAGAGAGTGAATGCAAAGGTCCTAAACCAGGGCTAGGCCACCTTGGCTCTTTTATGACTGGTGGACTTCAACTCCCAGAATTCCTGAGCCAGCATGGCTCAGCTTGGAAACCTTTCCATTTCCCCTCAGCATGGCTGGCTCAGGAATTCTGGGAGTTGAAGTCCACGAGTCATAAAAGAGCCAAGGTGGCCTACCCCTGGTCTAGACTCTAGGCCACTTTATGACTCATGGACTTCAACTCCCAGAATTCCTGAGCCAGCCTGGCTCAGCTTGGAAACCTCTCTCTTTCCCCTCAGCATGGCTGGCTCAGGAATTCTGGGAGTTGAAGTCCACCAGTCATGAGGGGGCTATAGTTTACCTCATGCTGGCTCAGGAATTCTGGGAGTTGAAGTCCAAGAGTCATAAAAGAGCCAAGGTTGCCTACCCCTGCCCTAAACGTTGAAAAAAGTGACCTGACCGTTATTCACACTTACAACCATTAGAGGTAGTTCTTGACTTACAACAGTTTGTTTAGTGACCAAAGTTATAACGGCACTGAAAAAAGTGACATGACCATTTTTCACACTTACAACCTTTGCAGCATCCCCACGGTCACGTGATCAAAATTCGGAGGCTCAGCAACTGACTCACATTTATGACGGTTGCAGCGTCCCGGGGTCATGTGATCCCCTTTTGCAGCCTTCTGACAAGCAAAGTTAACGGGGAAACCAAATTCATTTAGCAACTGTGTTACTAACTTCACAACTGCAGTGATTCCCCTAACATTTGTGCCAAGAAAGGTCGTAAAATGGGGCAAAATTCACTAAACAACTGTCTCAACGTAGCAACAGAAATTTTGGGCTCAATTGTGGTCATAACTCAGGGATACCTGAACATCACTCTGACATACCGGTAGTCCTTGACTTACAAACAACGATGGGGACTGGCAAATTCATTGCTAAGCAATGTGGTTATTCAGTGAGATATCACATGACCAAGATTTGGTGTCAGGCTTGCCCCAGCTAGGTGCCTAGGAAAAGAAGGCCCGGACTCCCTTTGATTGAAGTGACATTTTCTTTTACTAAGGATTACTGGTTGCAGACAAAGCAAGGCTAGATCTATGGTTTTCCGCACAAAGACTATAAAGTTTTCTCCTTTTCGTGGCGCTCCCCCCTTGACCAGATCCTCACTGTCCAATTGCGTGCCGCTGCGATCTCTGATGTCGGACCGGCGTCCTGCAATGGCTTCGCATTCTTTTTCATGCCAGGTGTCCTTGATGCGGCTGGATCAATCTGGTTTAACATGTCTGGTTCCTGTCAGTGCCATTCCCCCCCACCACCCCCCCATTCAGGCATCTCCTGTCTTCCTGCCCTCCTGCACATCTCCCCCCCTTCTGCTTTGCCCCCCCCCATTTATGGCACGATTATTATTATTATTATTATTATTATTATTATTATTATTATTATTATTATAATTTAATTTATATACCGCCCTTGTCCCGCAGGACTCAGGGCGGTGCACAGCGTATTAAAA